ATAGTCACTTAAAACATGTTTTTCTCGAAACTGTGAAGTCAAAGTCGGTTGTCAAGTTTTTTTGCGAACTACTTTACCGATCTTATTGAAATTTTACACAGTTCCTCAAGATATCCTTTATAATGTCTTGAATTCAATTGCGATTATTATTTTCCTTTGAAAATTTCAGAAAATCTTAATAAAATATGTATCTTCGGAATAATAAAATTTGAATTAAATATTGCATTTTTTATATGAAACAAGAAAAAACGTTAACTTCGGTTGCGCCGAAGCTATAATACCCTTCACAAAAACAAAGGCCCTTACAAGAACTTGATTCCGAACGTTCAATTTGTATGACAGCTATATGATATAGTGATCTGATCTGACCAATTTCTGTGGAGAATAATTTGTTGCCTTAAGCAATAACTCGTGCCTAATTTCGTGAAGATATCTCGTCAAATAAAAAAATGTTCCATGCAAGCACTTTACTCCGATCGTTCAGTTAATATGGCAGCTATATGCTATAGTCATCCGATCCATACAATTTCTTCGGAGATTAGATTAATGCTTTAAATAATAATACATGCCAAATTTCGTGAAGATACCTCGTCAAATTAAAGAGTTTTCCATACAAGCACTTCATTCCGATTGTTCAGTTTGTATGGCAGCTATATGCTATAGTCATCCGATCTGAATAATTTCTTCGGAGATTACATTGTTGCCTTAACTAATAATCCGTGCCAAATTTCGTGAAGATACCTCGTCAAATGAAAGAGTTTTCCATACAGGCACTTGATTCCGATTGTTCAGTTTGTATGGCAGCTATATGCTATAGTGATCCGATATCGGCGGTTCCGACAAATGAGCAGCTTCTTTGTGAGAAAAGTACAGGTGCAAAATTTCAGATCGATATCTCAAAAACTGAGGGACTAGTTCGCGTATATACAGACGGACGGACAGACGGACAGACGGACGGACAGACAGACGGACATGGCTAAATCAACTCAGCTCGTGATCATTTATATATATACTTTAAAGGTTTCCGACGTTTCCTTCTGGGTGTTACAAACTTCGTGGCAAAATTAATATACCCTGTTCAGGGTATAAAAATTATTGAAAATGTAGCGTTTTTTGCTCGACGAAACCCATATAACCCCTTAACTGATGTCTAGGGCGTATCCTGCCTTAACGATATCAGGGACATATATTTAAAAGCAATTTGAAACCCATGATCAATTATATCAAATTGCGAAAATCAAGATGGATAGGTCACACACCGCGAAAGGAAGGTACAGAAATTTGCTGACATGCACTGAAATGGAACTCTCAAGGAATTTGTAAGAGGGGCCGTCCAAATGCTGGGGAGGAGATCCTTATGAAAAGAAATCGATGAATCCGCAAAATTGTGGAACGGACTAAAGATGATAGCAAAGAAAAAGGATAAGATGAAAATGCTTTACTAGACGATCTAATAGAGTACCATAATCGCAATCAAATCAATTTGACCAAACATTTCAGTATAAAAAAAAAGTTAGAGAAAATATTTGAGGGTGATAGTTATTTCTTTAAACTGTGGCAATATCTAATGCCTAAAAAAGTATCAAGTAAGAAGTTTTTAGGAAAAAAAAAAGAATAAACTCTTTATTTTTTAATTTTATAAGTCCATTTAGATTTAAATAGTACCTCCTAACTGTAAATACATCTTATGATAGATAGATGTAGAATCATCTTCACTCCAATCACTACCGCAATGTCTTAAATCAAACCATTATAACTAACTACTGCCATAACCTAAAGCAAATGTTGTAAGACAACCTCACCTTTGTTATAATATGTAAACAAATACACCATGGTACCATGGTAACAGCCCACGTTATCTAAATTAATACAGTTAATTTACATATGTATGCACGTATTGTACTCGTAAGCATAAAAGCCGTTGCGAGCTTAATGAGCATTTGCGCCGACAGTTTCAAGGAGGTATAGAAATGCATAACTTCCAACTCATAACTAACACACATACATATTTATTATGTAAACCGGTGTAGGTGGAAGTCACAACCACCCACTGAAGAACTCGCACACATAAACTGTAGCACTCGTAACTAAGCGAGCAAAGAACTTAAGCAGCAAGTATCTATGACAGCTTCACTCTATTGTCCTTAACAACATGTTACCATTCATGAAGATTATGATAAATTTATACGATAAGTGAAACAACAAAGCATACAAAACACCACTTTTAAGTGAATATGGGTTTATGGAGCAAAACAGGTTTCCTTAATAAATATTTTTAAAATTACCGCCATAAAAAGCTAAACAATTCAGTGTATTTGTTCATTCCGAAAGCAGAAAGGGTGAGTAAATACCGCTGCTTTGTGAACCTCTATGAATATGTATAGTTTTTGGCGCACTAAAATATACGAGAACCCCCACTTAAGCAGCTGACAATAATATGCTTCCTAGCATAAATTGTTTTAAAGCTCCAATGGCAGCGTGTCAGTATGTATTTGGCAAAGTAAATTACCGGCAAATATGTGCCAGCCAAGTTGACAAAGTAGAAACCAACGCCAAAAAGTATACTTCCAAACCAAACCATATTTGTTACCCACACACAAGTGTACATGCATATAAAGTGTGAGCGCAAAATAACGGCAATCATCAATAATCTTAAAGACAACACGCCAGCTGATGCCAGTCGACCGGGCAACCGGCAACCGGCAATCTAGGCCTCAACTTCGGTACTGTGGCAAAGTTCAAGATACTCTGTCGACACAGTGTGGCACTGATAGGCTGCCTGTCGCTGAGCGCTGATTGCTTTGAACGTTTAGCCCATGCACATGGGAGCAGTATGTCAACTATGTCAACTTGGTTGGACAACATAAATGATAGCATGCCAGTTTGTACGGCCAGTTTGTACGGCCAGTTTGTACGGCCAGTACTCTTGTTAGTCCGCCGCTTTCTGACTTTCCTGTACTCTCCTACCACTTCCACTTCGCATGCACATTTCCGTTGTCGATTTTACATTTTTATCACTTGCAATAAGTTTTGGCAGCTGTTGGCACTTGTCCGTTCGTCTTTACTCACTCACCAGGCCAGTCGTCGATAAACTTACTAAAGCGGCTGCCTCACTTCTCCTTGCATGTTTTGCACAAAAAGTTTTCATTTGCAATTTATGTTTTAAATTGGCGCGCATTTATATTAGAAAAGCATTTATACAACGATGTTCTTATTCTTTGTTACCTTATTTTTCTATGTGAAACTACATTTGGAACAACGCCAGCTTTGCACCAATGGCCATTAGATGCGCGTCATTGACCCGTACACCCTTTGCCCATGCAACTTCCTGCTACACTTTAGACGAATTTCAACTACTACTTCTCGCTTATCAGCATATTTGACCTTTTCTAGCTCTCACTCACTCTACTTTTTGCTTGCCTCCTCTTTGTGTTCGGGTTGAAATGGCATCATTACACCATAATGACATATCGATTCGTTCACTGAGTGCTCGCAATAAATTATTGCCCAAACATACTGCTGTAACAGTTTAACAATGCCGAAATCCCAGTTGTGACGCAACTGCGCTGTACAAAAATTCAACTTCATTTTTATTTCTTCGCTGTTTGACCCTTTTTCATTTAAGCGTCGAAACTTCATTTTTTCTTCTGTGCGTTTATTTTGACCCCTTAATGTTAAACAAATGCGCTAAAATAAATCGCAACAAAATTGGCTGCCTTGGCAATGCATAACGAATCACATGTAATACATAACGGAACTGTTTAGGGTTGCCAACTGGACAAGTTTTATTAAATAGAGTACATTTTCAATAGTTTTTCATAACTGAATTAAATAAGTTGTAAAAGTCCACAAAGTCAAGCAAGTCAAAGCAATGAACACCAATTAGAAGATCCCAGATGTTACGAAGAAGTACCAACGAATTTCATTAGTTGAAATTCAAAAATAATATTTTCAGAATATATTTAAAGTTGTTTCGTTTACGTTGCCGAAAATTTTTTCTTAAATATTATATGTATTTGGAATTGGAATTGGTGCCAACAATAATTTAATGTTTATAGGAACGACACCCCGATAGTTTTTATCTGTTCATGCTAAAATTTAAATTCTAATTTTATAACCGAACCATATGCTCAAATAATCATGCCGATGAAAGGGTGAGCTTATCACGAATTAATCCATTCAACAAAAATAAGTTGACCTGCAAATATCAAAGAATTTGCGCTCCTAAGGGTAAGCCACCGCAATCCGAAAAAAAATATTTTTAAAGTATATCGTTAAAACCAAGCTTTTGCTGAGCTTTCGAGGAAATTAAGGTCCAGATATTCTAATATATGTATGCCCTGCTTAGCTAACTCTGTTCTCAATACTTTCTAACTTAAAATTTTACATATGGGAGAATCATAATCTTTCAAGTTGGCTTCGAAAAAAAATCCTTGCGGAATAGTTTTATTGATATACTGTGGACCCATAGGGAAGCCTATATAAAAGCTCGTATGAATATACGATATATAATATATCTCATGCATATTTAGAACTTAGGTGCTTGACTTCTGTAGTTTCACCTAAAACCGAAGCTTATATAACTTAGCTCTAGTTTAATGTCGACAGAAATATTGAGTATCTCTATTTTGCTCCAAACTTTGGTCTTTTGGCGTACAGTTTTTTATACTGTTGTTCATTACGATAGGGTTAATGTTGGAGAATCTATGAAGAGCTATCCTTTCCAATTTTCTTTGGATAAGAGCACGTAGCATTTATATGAGAAAAAATATCGAAAAATAATTTATAAACTTTTTATGACACATGTAGATCTTAATCTTTTTTGACAGAACAAAGATTATAAAAATTTTAGGACTAAAATGATCGCTAATGTTTTTTAATAACCAAAAAAAATATTCTTTGATTTTTCTGTATCCAATTTAATCAACATAAAAGTAAAATATTTTGTTTTTGTACTGCAGTGCAATTATAGAAAATTGGCAACCCTTTTTACAACTATTATTTACACTTACACAAACATGCTTGCGCACGTATGAGTGCGATACTTAGCCAATTTATTTGTTCAATACAAACAGTCGTCACCAACGAGCTGCACCATCCGATAAAGCAAATAACCCAAAGGGTAGATATATACCTTAGCGCAATTCCGAAATCAGAAAATCACAAGACCGCGCACAAACAGAACAAGCAGGTGAAAAATTGCGAAGCCGCACAAGCCAAAGCAACGTGTTAGCAATCAAGTAAAATTGCAATTGCGTTTCGCGTGCTGCAAACATATCCAGCAGCAGCGGGCACCGAGCAGCATGTCTTGCTCTCGGAAGCAAAATACTATAGATGCTCATTATTTTTATTTGTACGGACACTATAGTATATATACATTTATTTTCTTTCTTTCCGTATCTTTGCAGTGCTTGAAACAACATGAAATTGGAATACGATACAAATCCGTTCAAGCGACCGATGAATGCGCTACAGAAACAATGGTACCGCGTACTTATCGCCCGACGTGTTGGCTACGGGCCGTCGCGATCGAGCAATGACAACCAAACGCAAACGTAGTGAGTAGCAAATAGTGAAAAATATACATACAAACATACTTACTTAAGAAGAAGACAAGTGCTGGTAGAGCGGGCGCGAGGGTGAGCGTGAAGAGTGTTAGAAAAAATGACATTAAAAATAGGGAAAAAGAGACAAAAAAAAGTATTAAAGACACAATCAGTTGGCAAAGGCAGTGAATAGCTATTCACTGTGACAACAATTGTTGCAGTTGCAAAAACAACACATAGTATCTGCAATATCTATAGCTCTACTTTGGTGCACTTCTTCTGCTTTCCGCTTATGTGCGACGCTGTGTAGTTTGTTGTTGCCCAACCAGGAAGACAACGCAAAAGCGCAACAAATCTTTTTACAATTCGTCAGGAAATTGCATTTCCTTACTGCCTCGTTTGGCTTGATTTGATTTGCCTCCTCGCAACCTGCTTTCATGCATTCAACGCTCATTTCTGCCTATCCTTAGCTGAGACCTTGTATGCGGTTTGCTGCCGGCGCTGATCCGTGTACTCCAGTAGTTAGCGCTCTTGTACGTGCAGTGAACACATCGTGTCGTAGTTGTAAATCCCTCAAGCGCTTCGAGAATGCACTCGTGCATACGCTCATAGAATCTTACATACACCAGCTAGAAGTCTAGACACACACACACGTATATTAGTCATGTCTGTGACTGCCTTTGCCTTTATGTTTATGTGGTTTTCATTTTATGTTCCTCTTCTTTTTTGTGGTTTACCTTACTTGGCTCCATGTCTTGCTCGTTTTTTTGTTGGGTTTTTTATTTTGTTCGTGTGTGCTCAGCAAATATTTTCATTTCATATTTCACATCATTGTCCTTTTATTCTCACTGCTGCACCTGTAATCCATCGATTGCATCTCAACAATTCAACTGCTTTCCGTTTGTCTTGCACTGCTCCGTTCACCCACGACCCGCTCTTCGCCACATCCCTGTTATTCTCGTCATATTTGCGCTGCGCGCAGTCAGCAAGTTTGCCAATGGCGCTACATGGACGCATTCCGCCGTTACAATGCACAGTTCCGCAAGGAAGTGCAACAGCACGAGCTCATGCAGCCGACTGCCATCGATGCGATGCGTGTTCACAGGTATGTGCCACAGTATATTGGATAATTTTTACAATGTAGAATGTAGTACATGACGGAGATAGCACAAATGCAAATATAATATTATTTTGTACATAAAAAGCTTTACACGAGTGAGCAGTGAAATAAAAAGCTCAATGTAAACATATTTTTAGCCAAACTATTCTAAATTGCTGTATTGTTATTATATTTTTTATTCTAACTTTTTAAATTGCTTGTACATTCATCGTATTAACGCTTGGTCTATGGATTGCATCCTAAATGTAGACAATATTTTAGTTTTTGGCGGTAAAAAATTTATTGTTGCCTACAATTAGGCACTTGAAAATAATATAGTGAAGTCACACACTTTATGTTATTACGATAAATTATTCTAAAATTTCATTGATACATTCTCAAAAAGTTCGAACACATCTTTCCAACACGTTATTACTAAAATAGCCTAATTTTGAACTATTCGTTGCCATACTTATTAAATACATACTTAAAAAAAATATGGGTCTGAAGTTAAATAATTTAGAAATTTATGAAATTGTAAATTTAAGTCCTAATGAGAACTATACTTGTTACTAGGTTCACTTAAAAATCCCGCTCAAGAATTTTCTGTTTTTTTTTTTTGCTTCAAATAGACGAAAGTTTATCATTTTCAAATTGATATTTAAGGAACTCATTTATACATATGTATGCACATCTATTGGCGAAATTCCTGTCAAATAGCTGCATTTAGAAAATAATGCGATCCTTGCGATTGGAAGAATGTATGTTTTGAGAGAAACAGCAAATTTTAAGCTGCCGTTGAAAATATAATGCACTTTATGAGAAAGTTTTTCGTAGCCGAAATACGGTCTGAACTTTGTCATGGCCAGAACCGCGGACTGAGTGTTACCGCTGTTAAAAAAAAGTAACTTTTTTAATGTAAGCAATCGAAACCAGGTCCTGCAGCAGTAACCTCTTACCAGCAAACGATTTTTTTTGCAGCTTAGGTGAAAATTTGGAATGTTATGTTGGAAATAGCTACGTGTAAAACAAATGTGAAAATAATGATCGGGAACTTCTCGTTTAAATCTTACATCATAAGTAAATATTAAATATTTCCAGTTCGAAATATCAAAAAAAATTGTGGTAACACAGCTTTCAAATCGATCACCCATCCCCTTTAAAAGTCACGTAGGAATGTTATATCTAATTACAGATACACAGACACCACTTAACACCCAAGCATCCGCAAATACAAAAGAATGCTTCGCGAAAAATGCGGAGAAAGCAAGAAAACCAAACCGATTTAACTAAAATCGCTGCCATTTAACACCGTTGAGTATTTATTTCACCTTTCGTTGACCCACTTGGCTTAATTCGCTATTAACACTGAAATTGCAAAGCCCACAAAAACACCGAAAAGGCTACACGAGCCAAGAGCTAAGCAACAAACAACAACAATACCAACCAGCTAGAGCACAAATACTTGAACTTTGTTTTTGTTGTTTTGTCAAGCAATTAACTATGTAGATTTAACACTTTCGCAGCAACTACAGTTAGAAACTTTGATTAGCACCAACACCGGCTTGTTGTAGCAAAAATAGCACGTAGAAAAGTGTGATAAAGAGGTTACAACTGTAGCAGCATTTCAAACATAACATTTTTGACATTATTTTGTAGAAACTGCAAAGTAAAGTAAAACATTCTCGCATTTCGCCGCTCTATCGCCCACAGAACCTTCGCCATTACAACACTTTGGCCGCCCTTGCACTCGAAACGGGAAATAAATCTGACACTGGAACAATTGGAGAATGTTTTGAGTGTCAAAGAAAGGTGGCGTTTGGAGGAGATACTCAAGCGTGAAACGAAGCGCAGATAAAGTGGCTTCAGAGGGCAACGTGAGATAGGTGGAATGGCAGTAGAGAAGAAAAGGAGATAAGTGGAATGAGAGGGAAGCATAAGTTGAAAATGAGTAAGAAGCTTGGGAGGTACTTACTGAAGGAAGTGGATGACATATCAATGACTTGAAGAGCTGTAATGTTAAAAAGAAAATTGATTTGGGTAAAGGAAGAACACAGAGAGGGCGGTTTTGAGAGTAATAAAAGACAACAAGAAGAATTTGCTACGATATTGAAATATACTTGTATTATATATAGTAAAATTGATTGCTTATAAAGATATTCTGCATAAAATATTCAAAACTTTTTTTTTTGCAAAGTCTTCATGTTAGGGACCCAAGCTGCCGAACTATTAGTTCCTTTATTGTGGCAACTTCGTATTTTGGATTTTGTTTCTTGCGTGTGGAACTCATTTGGCTGTGGTATTTCCATTTGAAATAGAAATTGCCTAATATCTTGTATATAAGATCACCTAATAACGTCGAGTTAATAGCGAAGAAACCTTTACTGGATCTTAGATTATATAATGACAGGTATCGAAGTGATTCTTTTTTTACTATTCGTTTTCAATTCAATTGGCTCTTTTGTTTCTACAATTTGCCTCCTTAAGAAAGATGATTCCACAAAATTCGAGATAAAATGGTAATAATGTTGCTTTTTCCCATTTCATCTCAGATATAACTTTAGTGGTTTGAGAAGGACCACTGAGAAGTTAAGCTTATTGCTTTTTGTCAAATTTTGTCACTGTTTCAAGTTCAACAAAGCTTTGACTAATTAATTCACAAAGTTAGGATTCAAGTATTCTAAAAATAAAGATGATTTCAAAGAGATAACTATGGAATAAATTTAATACAATATTTTTATCAAATAATTTAAAAAGTTGAAAGAGAAATCTTAATAAAAATAATTATATTAAACCACTCACTGTTGTTTCCTTTGTTAACATACTGTTTTGACTAATCTAACGTTAGTATTTTTTTATCTATTAAAAAGGAATAGCCACCAGTTTTTAAAATTACAACTCACACCACATACCGTGGTGAGTTTTATATATTAGCTATAGATTTTACGTTCAACCGTTTTTACTAACTTTAAAACTTTTAATCTATAAAAAATCAAAAGAAGAAGATGTTTGTGATCATAAATCACACCACACACTGTGGCGAGTTTTCTTTTTAACCAACTTCTTTGACTAATCTAACTCAAGAACTTCTTTAACAATAAAAAAAAGGATGAAGATTACCAACTGTTGTTTTTACAAGAATGCATTTAAGAGCCTTTTAACTACAATCATTAACGCTCAGTACAGCTATATCAGTACCAAAATCTAAAGTGCAATCGATAGCACTCAATATCATCAGCTGCTGCCATGCAGACATGTGAGGCTTTCCCCTCTCCTCGTTGAAATGTATCAATATATGTTAGCCCCAGTATGGAAGCAACAACAATACGTTACATTTCCCCCACACACACGCGCTTCAATTTACGCGCAACGCAACGCGGAACGCCGCAGCAAATTGCAATGCGTGTGATTAAGCGCATACGCCGAGTCCTCCACTGAGTAACCAAATTTGATGTATATGAGTAGTATTACCTAGTGGCAGGACGGGAGAGCACAATCCCAGTGAAAGCCCTGTTTACTCATAGTCAATGGGGCGGGGCTGATTGCCAGAGGCGCTTGCTCACATTGCAAATCACGGCCCAAAATATCGACAACTGACAAAATGTGTGAATTGAATTTTGAAAAAGATTTCCGTGGCACGTATTGCAGCATATCATGAACTGCTGGCGGTATGGGGAGGGAATTCGAGCGGTTTGCATTGAACCACTTCGTTGTGAACGCGGCGCACAGACAATGAGGAGTTTGAGTTGAAATTGTTGAAAAGTTGATTACACTCATACACAGCTATACATACTGTTACATACTTGTATATATGCACATACATATAACAACAAACAAATAGGTATGAGAGAGAACGTGTTGTTTGCCGCTTGAAGCGCGATCTCCTTCGGCAACTTTGTCGGTTTGCGCGCTCATTTTAGTCTCAACCGCTGCGAGTTGGCTGCTTTTTTACGGTTAGCGCATTGCTTTCGTTCATTCATTTTAGGTTTTTGGTTTGATGCGCCTTTGACTGGGAAGTTTTTGATTTGGTTTGGCTTGATTTGGTTTGCGCGTGTTGTTCAGTGAGCACACACATACAGTTATGCATAGCGCCAAGCAAAGTCTCCTGCTTTATTCGCCAGGCCACTTGCCTTGGACTTGACTCTCATTGGCATTACGCTCACGTCTCGGATGTTTATGCCATTAGAGCGATAAGCTGCTGCTGTTCGCTGTCAGACGCGCACGCCTGCATAACAATTGCCAACACTTTGCTTCGGCCACTGCCGCCTCGCACTTCTTTTGATGCCTTTCTCATCCTTCTTGCTTTGCCTTGTCACGAGCCAACAGCAAACGAAGGAAATTTAGTTTTCTGGGGTTAAGTGGAGCTCACTATTTCGTTGTTGCATTTGTTTTTATTATTATCGGTTGAATTTTAACAATTGCGATTGTTGCTCACTTTAATGTCGGGCTAGCGTGCAGTTAGAGCTTGGTTATCCCACTTACCTCTCACGCCAAAGTGAAATTTTTACTGCGTTCGATTGATGGTTTGAGCAAGAGAACTCTGTATAGGTACCAATAATTCATTAACGACAACAAGATTGATCAATTTGGTTGTTAATTTTGCTTTATACCTCGCAACGTGGTTTGCATTCAAATTAGTTTCAATTGTATTTGGAGGGGTAAAACCTTAATTGCTTGTTATAGGTGCCTGAAACTGAGAGAACTATTTAAACGGAATATTTGCTCGTTGTTTTAATACTTTCCTTTCAAGTCCTCATAACAGATTTCCATAAACGAGGGTTTTCACATCGAAAGCTCCTTATCAAACTTAAAAGCTTTCGATTTTTTGGCATAAATGAAAGTTTTCACATCGAAAGCTCCCTATCAAGCTTAAAAAAACTCTCTTTAAATATCGAGTGCTAGTTACGTACTTTCTCGGACAGAAAAAAAATTTCTAAACTTTCAAACCGTTGTATCACAAAAACCCCAAGCAAAACATTGAATTTCCTTTCAATGAAAACATTAAACAATTCAAAGTGAGATAATCGAACAACAAATAAAAAAATTATAAAAATGTTTTGACAAAAAAAATTTTAAAATTTTCGAAAATAAAGAAAACTAAAAAAATAATAATTTTTATATAACAGAGCTGCGAGAAATATTTTAAAAAAATTCACGTTGTGGGACTATTTCAAGGCAACACGTCAATGACATTTTCCAACAGCTTTGCATACATCAAAAAACAACAAAAACTTATATAAAAAAAGTAAATAAAAAGCACAAAAAACAAACCAGCTTCACTGCAGACACAAAAAAACCAATTGCTATAATTCACACGCGCGAAAATATGGACGAAACGAAAGTACTTGAAGCCGCACTCCAGAATTGCCATCATCTCGAACGCTCTATCTACGAATCCATACGACTGGTGCGACGCCTAAACATACGCTACAATTCCGATTGGCTTTTGAAGAACTATAAAAACTATATGGCAAACATTTGGTCACAATACCAGTGCACGAGTCAAGTGCCCGAGACGACGCGCAGTGCCACCTCGGTGCGCTCGATGCCCGTACGAACGAGATGTGCCAATGCTGCGCGTACGCTGCTACCGAAGAAATCGTCGCATGTGGCGTTGAGTGCGCGCAGTTCGCACGAGTTGTGCGGCATCAGTCGACAAATCAACTACAAATTCATCAAAATCAAACGCAGCATGGAGACGCTCATCCATCAGATACAGCATGCTATCGAGATATCGAATCGCCAACGGAACTTTGTGCATCTAAATGTGAATGCACGTGACAGTCGAACGCGTATCTGTTGCCACTGAGCGCTTAACAATGCGCTTCGATAGAGCGGTGGTCATGCGGTGGATGTGTTGAAACAGTTGGTAGTGAGATGACGGTGTTGGTGGATAAAGAAGTCTGCGGTTCGAACTTGCATTGGTACTCCTGGCAATGGAGTTTCAGTGATGTGAGATTTATTTTCGGTATTTCGAATTTTTCTTCGTAAAAGGACTAAACTAGTTTTTGTGTAAATATAAATATGTATGTATTTGGTGCATAAAATGTTTTTACATTTAAATATTTTTTATAAAATGTTTTTTTTAATAAATATTTTTACATCTGGTATGTTGGATTACAATAAAATAGAAATAATTTCTGCATAGGTTCTATTTTCTCAGTTTAATTACGTACTAAATTTTATTGTAGGACGCAGAAAATGTGACCAGAAGCTATGTTTTATAGAAATATATTCAGCTATCTTTTGGAAATACGTGATTTAGTTATTATATGTTTTGTACTTTGAGGACCTTGCTTCCCCACCATAGATGATACAAAAGACCTTCGAAGCTAAAAGTAGTTTTACGTGTCGCGATTGTTCTATGAGCAGCGCAGCTAAAAGTCTCTAACTACTGGATCTATATAGTGCTTAGAAACTCCGTTGGACTTGAGTTCGAATTTTCTCCTCATTTAAATTTTTTTTAGAACCGATACAAATAATACTTTATTTAGTTATTTCGTCTAAAACATTTAAGTATTTATTATTAAGTATTTTAAAGAACTCTATTCGGAACTCTGCCTTAGTTGGACTCCCTAAAATAAATCTTCGACTTTCAGATTTTACTCAATGGACATAGACTTGCCGGTTTTTTTTCGAATTAGGCAATATCGACTTACAATAGGAATTAAAAATCCACTCAGCCCCCTAATACAATCCTTGATATTAACCTGCCTTCGCAATCATAATCGATAAATCATGCAAGAACTATTCTCTGGTTTCTCGATAGTAGAAATAATTTATGCAACATGGGTCCTTAAGGAACCGAACACACAAAAATATGGTAAATTGTCATAAAATATCGATCTAATAACTCAAGATAGAGCATAATGAATTGCTAAAGCGGCACCATTTTTAACCGTCGGTACATACACTACTCTCTTCAGCTCTTTCTTTCAATGAGATATATTTCGTAATGTGCAAAAAAAGTAATATTTTTAGTATCCACTCGAGTATATTTTATGAAGATCATTCTGTTGGTCTGAGGTTATAATAATAGTATGTACTTATGGGCATAACCTCAAAGCTGTATATTCATTATTATGGATTTCACTTAATATACCCTAAGTTTGCCACGAAGTTTGTAACACCCAGAAGGAAACGTCTTAGATCCTATAAAATATATACATAAATGATCAGCATGAAGAGCTGAGTTGATTTAGCCCTGTCCCTCCGTCTGTCCATCCGTCCGTCTGGCTGTATATCTACAAACAAGTCCAGCTATAGTCCAGTAGTTTTTAAGCTATCGATCTGAAAATTTTCACCTGTTCTTTTCTCACTAAAAGGCAGCTCATTTGTCGGAAAGGTCGATATCGGACCACTATAGCATATAGCTGCCATATAAACTGAACAACGTAATCAAGTGCTTGTATGGAAAACTCTTTCATTTAACGAGGTATCGTCACGAAATTCGGCATGTATTATTGTCTAAGACAGCAATGCAATCTTCGAAAAAATAGTTCAGAACAGATCACTGTAGCATATAGCATCAAGCTCTTGCGTGGAAACTTTTTCATTTGTGAAGAATGTCATAGCTTCAATGCAACCGAAGTTTAAGTTAACATTAATATAAGTAAAAAATCAATACTCTGCTTCAATAGCCTATACCTCATTACATCATCTAATAGGTCTCGAGAGCAGCCTCTGATATCAAACTCATCATTTCATTATCTAATTTGATTAATCTTCAATATATAACTAGGTTTTTTTGAAAAAAATTTATCGCAGACGTGACCTAATTAGCTTCAATACTTCTTTTCGTTTAACAAAAGTTTATGCATTAATTTTTATCTCTCATTTCTCTCTTCAAATTGTATTCTGATGTTAAATTTCAGCCTAAAAACGTACCCTCAATTGGTTATCAATTCAATTAGCTCAATTTCATGTATACATACAATACATACATATGTAAAACATTTATTCGTTTCAACGAAATTCTATAAACTACTAATTAAGCGTTTTACTTTACCCAAATTAACCAGTTGACATTTTACGCATACAATTTCACACATGAAACTAAAATTCCAATTTAGCACTCCATGGCATGCATACACATAAAAGCACACACATACTTACACAAGTATACGCATGATGTGAATTTGCACACAAATATTTTTCAAAGGCTTTATTACGCACCGGCAGACCTACCTAATACCCAGCTGGCTCATTAATGGTATTTATTTACCTGTGAGCGCAGCTGGAATATTGGTGCCGATTAATGGTTAAAGGACTTTAGCAGCAACTAAATATTTGAATGGTATGCGAGCAACAAAGGCGAACAATAAAGCAGGCTGGCAGCCAACAAGCAATAACAAAGTTTGCTTGTAGCTTTTCCACAGCAACTTTGTATAAATAATTTTAAGGCTTTCGTTTATATCTATGTATGTATATATATATTTGCATGTTAACAGTTATTCCGGTTAGTGTGCGTGTGCCTTGCAAATGCTTTAAATATTTATGATGCCAGTTAACCAAATTGAAGCATACGCCATGGCGTATACGTAACATTCATTTGGAGCAAATGTGGACGGGGAAGTAGGTATGTGTGTGTTTGTGAATATCAGCAACATTATGGCGTAAACCGATATGTCCAAATGATATGTAAGCCTACATACTTCTACACAAATATTTGTGTTAGTGTATTAGTAAATATACATATATATATATATGTATGTATGTATTAGTGAACTCATAATACACATAATTGCAATTCCATTTCTAAGTTTGTCCGTCTGTCTGTATTCAGCGCGCATTCATGCATCTAATAACTATTTATAGTCGCCACAAACAAATATATGTATGTACACATTTGTATGTATGTGTGTTGTTGTGCCCATAAGTGTTTGTTGTAAAATTGTGCGCAAATAGAGTTGCGTTTAGTTTATCTGTGTAAACTTCAGTTTCCCGCATTTCGCATTGCATTCAGCACATTGGCAAACTAAACGCACAAATAGTTCATCTACAGCGACGCCAACAGTCGCATCAGTGTACTGGCTGAGCAAATATGAGCGTTATGAGCTGGACCCTCGCATCGGTGTGTTTGTGTATGCTTGCGTGTGTACTTATCATATACTCAAATATATGCTCATCATATTCAGACTAGCGTATGCACTTACTAAACACTCTCACATACTTACTTGATTTCCTAACTGCTTTGGGGGTATAAGCGAATAAACCGCAAGTGCTCGAAGACAGCGCACAGTGGCGCTTATAAGCAATTCTGTTGTCTTCGCAAAATTTTTAACAGAAAATTATTGAAACAAATTTTAAGAAATAAACCAAAATTTTAAATAATTTAGACAACCTTCTATTATTCGTTTTGCAACATGAACTATAAATAGCATAACCTCTTATACATCGTATCTAAGCTATTTCAATCTACTATATATTTGCTGTTTACCGACTGCGTCAGAAAGCGAGAATCTTGATGCAAAATTAATTTACAATTATTTAATTTTTTCGGGATCCCGAAATTGTTGATCTTGCTCATCGGGATCCCGAATTTTTTATTTCCAAATCGATTTTTGCTGGATTTACATTAAATGAACAATTTTTTTTTATACTGCAATATTCGTAATTGTTTGAAGAGCCGTCTTATAAGCGTTCAAATAATAAATTTATTCTTTCGAAGTCGCGAATACTGTATGAACATTCTTTCATGGAATTTCGGTAGAATATTTTTAAATTAATCTCGAACTCTCCGAATCCCGAGGTGAACTGCATTCTGATTTTTCAAGTCAGATACTTTTCTTTCGCTCTTCTGCGAATAAAGTCTTTGCTTATATTTATTACTTACTTACTTTGGATACTACCCTTATATGCAATTTCAGAATCCAAGATATTGTTTCTGAACGAAATAAAGATTTAATTGAGTCCTGTGAATCCCGTTTTGGTCGAGATCCCGATTTTTTAACTCAGTATATCATCTGCAGTTATATAATAATAAACATTTCGGAATCCCGAAAATAGTTTCCA